ATATGCTACAGTAAATGAACCTGTTATACACGAAATATCAACTGATATGCTTTTTGATAAAGCTAAAACATTGAGTAAATTTACTAAACGAGTAAAAGCAATGTCTTATGCATCAATAAAAGAACAACAACATTATTCACCATCACCCGATGATGAATCAATGAATATAACAAAACTTAAAACAATACGAAAAGTAAATGAATATCATCCAATGGCTATTCCAACTGTAACATCTGAACAACAATCAAATATACAATATTCAAATTCATCATATTATTCAACAACAAGTCTTGATTCAATTGAAAATAAATCATTATCATCATCACCAATTTCAAAACGAATTACAACAACATTTTCTAACTTATCATCTCAACGTACATCAAATTCAACTCAAATTCAACGAATAGGTCCAACAATGGGTACAACAACATTAACACGTACATTTGCATTTGATCGTGTTTGTATGGAAAAATATGGTCGAGAACAAGAACAAGAAAACAAATTCATTGAAACTCCACTTAGATCAAATACTGAAAGTAGTATTAAAAAAAGAATAGACTTATCAAACAAAAAAAAAGAACAAACGTATGTATACATTAGAATTTAAAAGAAAAGAAGAGAAAGAGAACATATCTAATTTGATTATTTGCTTGAAAATATTTTTCAGTGAACAACTTTCACGTTCTAACAATACACTTAATCGTTATTCATGTATTGATACAATTCCAGCATCATTCTATATCGATAATGAATTAAGTGCAATAGAGGATTCAGAATTTGAACATCATTCAACAGTTCCTTCTTCAATACCTATGTCAAATAGTCAATCAAAAGCATCATCTATTTTATGTTTAATGAAAAAATATGCTCGAACAGTTAAATCTGATTATCGTTTAACACATAATAAAAGTAATGGTAATCTATCATCAGAACCAACATTACTTCAAGTAAAATATCTTGATGGTAGAGTTCCATTAAATGATAATCAAGCTCGAGAATCAGTTCGAAAAAATTCAAAATTATCTGATTCAATAGCTAATCGACTTAATCGACTTAGTTTACATAATATGTCTTCAACACAAGATTTATCATCAACATCAACAACATTTTATGCGTCATATCGAAAACGAGTGTTGAATCGTTTTCGTTCTTTTGTAGAAAATAATTTCAATGAACCGCCATCATCACCATCATCATCAGTACCGCAATCAAGACCATGGCAACATAAAACAATTAGCGAACTTCTTAGTGAAAAAAAATATACAGTTAATCGTCATTGATGAAAAAGACCAAAAAAAGAAGAAATATATACTATATTAATTTAAGTTTTATTTAATAATAAATAGATAGATGGTTATTATGGACATATATATGTTAAAAAGAAAAGAATTTACATTCATATGCTATTCAATATTGTCGAAATCGATCGATAATGGTTGTCAATAATATCATAAGAGTTTGGTTAGTATTATCATAATAAAGAATGATGATCTTCATATTTTTCCGATAATTTCTCTAATTTTCATAGATTCAGACTGAACTTTCTTGTTTCAAAAGACTCAACGTTTAATTCTGTACAAAATCAGATACAAATGAATGTCATAGGAATAAAAGTTTAAAAAATGATCGTAGTAATATTAGAAACCTGCAACATCAATAACTTTCAAGCGCAAAATATAGTTCTCTTGTATTTATGTGTTCTCACGTCGAACTACATAGACAATTTGTACTATCTATGTTGTAGAACTTCTACAGGTTTTATCTTATTAATATGTTCAAGAGTTTTGATAACGAAACCTTATTGAATAAAATAAGCGTTACTTTCCTTGTCGAATTAAAGAATGCGTTGTTTTTTTATTTGAAATAAATAACATTTATTTAGTCTTTGTTTTATGCAATAAGGTTTCGGTTTAAAGATTCTTGAACATAATAATAAGATAGACTTTTTGAACTTCTACAAAATAGATAGTACAAATTGTCTATATAGTTCAATATGGAAACACAAACTACTGTATTGTGTGTTTAGAATTTGTTGATGTTGTATGTCTGCAGTATTACTATAGTAACTATGTTGTTTGCTTTTATCTTTATGACATCGAATTGTATACAGTTTTGTAGAGAATCAAATAGTGAATCTTTTCAAAAAAAGTTCAGTTCGAATCGATGAAAACTAGAGACGATATTCAGAAAATATGGAAAACTTCATTTTTCTTAGATCGTCTGTTATTTGTATCATGATAATGAAAATTTTTCTTTTCAATTGAATCAATCTATGGAAATTAAAGATTAGATATATTTCGTAATTTAACAAAACATAAATAAATAATTACTTTGTCACTACTATTTAAAATGCTGAATGAATGATTATTAAAATTATTTTTGATGATACAATATCATCATCTATTTTTAATTTGACTACTCAAAATTTATTCTGAAATTGGAATTGATAAGTTCGGATCTAAGCTGTTCGAACAATTTTTTTGTTATGTTTTTGAGAAAAGCACTTTCAGGTAAAAAAAAATCTTTGTTCTGTTACTGAAGTGCCGTTCTCAAAATAAAACAAAATGTATTGGACAGCTCAATTTCAAGAGCTGAACTGTTGAAATAGATTAGTTATTATTAGAGGAACTGTTTGAACAAATTTTTCGCTCATTTGATCTGAACTTTGAACTGGAATCTAATCGACTTCTATTTTTGAGTGCACTTAATTCTTTATTACTTCTTGATTCTTTGATTGTTTATAGTGAAATTAAATGAAGAATGTGATGTTTTATCTACATAATAGAGTATACCTTCATACAAAAAAAAAATATAATGATCGAATTGACTTGATGTAAAATATTCTTTGCCATCTTCTAACAAGACAAGTTTTTTATCAAAAATAAAAGTTCATTTCGAACTGAAAATTGTTTTTTTTTTTTTTTTTGATTTCATAAAAGGATCTCCACTGTGACAATGTAGAATTGTTCATTATTAATAAACTCAACATTAGAAAAAAAAAGATAACTATATACCATATTTGATTTCATATTCAGTTCATGTCATTTTATCAGGACATTGAACAAAGGTCAAAAGAATGCCAAAGGCAACTAAAATGAAGATTGATGATAATGTGATTGGAGATTGTAAGGTAAATAATATGTTTTGTGCACAATAGTATAGAAAATAGAAATTCATTGTGTTGTATAGATCGTTGACAAACAAAGCAACTTAAAGATATCAAGACAAATAGATATAATCTGATGTTGACCATTACTTTAACGAAAAAAGTCATCACAATATACTCCAAAATGACATGAATACAGAAGAGATCTATGATAAGTACTTGATGTATCCTTATCGAAGCGAGATTATCGATTGATGAATGCAATGACAGATATAACCGACGAAAAGAATCAACAGTAAATTATACTAATTCTTCTTTATGTAAATAGATAATATAAGTGTATGAAATTAAATCAAATATCGACTTGATTCAAAAAATCTATTTTAAATTACAAATATCATCACATTGTCTTTGTGAAACATGATCTAAAACGAGTTTTGAAGTATAGAAGGGTAGAAAATTGGATTCATGAGCCATGACAGATGTTGTTTATATACGATCATAAATCGTATATCAATAGCATGTCTTGTTACAATAAATAAACTACTTCCTAATTACATTTAAATGATGATGAAAAAATATGTTTTAAAATAGATAGAATAAAAATAATCTTTCTGTAATTAGTAACAGAAACTTCATCGTATTTCACATATTAATCTCACAAGGATTGCATTAACAATTTTTGTTTTTTTTTTCATTTTTAAGACAAATTGTTTTAATTGTGAAGTTTCTTTCTGAAAAATATTTGATAATAAAAATAAATTGATCATATTACAAAAGTTACAAAAATATCTTTGAAACATTATACAACTGACTAGACATGTTCATTATCATCAATACTGATCAGTATAAAGAAAAAAGAAAACAAATGATATTCATCCATGGGCATAAATCTTTTTTGTTTCCCATTCACAATGCACATTTGATAATTCACAGTAGTAAAACCTTGATATAAATAGCATATGACAACTCGAAAGAAAACATATGGTGAATGAAAAGAATTTAGCCTCAAGGCGTGTTAATGAAGTATCACTGAGTATATCGTAATTTTTTGCACGTGTATTATATCAACGCATAATAGATGTTTTTTTTTAAACGTGAAAATAATCGATTCCTTTTTTAACTGGATTACAAATAATTAGATTCATCATAAATAGAGATTAGTCTGAGTCTCGTATCAAAACAGATTCCTTTTTTTTTGAATGATGAAAAATATATCAAGGCAAAAAGAAATTAAGCTCAGTGAATGATTAAAAATATTTCATATATTAACAATCTAACGGTAATTCATTTTCCGGTCTGGTTCATCTTTTTCATTATTAATGTAGAAAAGGAAATTAATTATTTCGCTATTTTATAACGAAGAAGATTAGCATATTCATTAAAAAAATACAACAATAAATAAATACATATATATAATTCTATTGTATTATTTTAATATAAATACATCAGTATATTAAGAATATTCTTCTCGAATGATGTCATCTATACTTATAATTAGTCACAATATCCACATGATCAAAACATGCCCTCAAAATCCTTCAATTTTGATTAATTATTAATCATGTTTTAAAATTTAATGTCATATGAGATAAATATCAAATATTCACACAATGCATCATGTTTGATTACATATTCGATAAGCAATATTTTGTCAAGAATGTTACCTTTTTTTCTCTTTCTAATGTAATTTCGGATGAATATTCATATATACCAGAAAAGAAGAAAAAACATGACAACAACACAACGAAATTTTGTGTATATGTTTTGTGTAGTGACAGAAAAAAGTTAAATATAAACAACATTATAGATATAACGACTACATTATGTGAGTGAAACATAACACAGTAAAGAAAAAAGAAGACTAACTGTCTTCAATAGGTTTATTAAATGACTATTTACGAGCTTTTTTATGATGTACATTGCCAGTCATATTTGGCGTTGATAAAATATTTTCTGTTATAGATCGTTGTCGATTTGTTTCACTTTGAATAATTGTTGTAGATGGTATTAAATATTGAACAGCTGAGACAGATGAATCACTTAGTGTTTTTCCTCGATAAGATGTTGGTTCAAGTAAATTTGTAAATTTACTAGAATTAATTATCGGAGGTGTATGTATGTGTTCGAAATCATTAGATTTTTTTCTATTTGATTTTGAACGTGATGTTTTACGTTTATGATCATCTAGTTCATTTGAACTATTATCATCTTTGATTTTTATTTCATTGGATTTCTATAAAAAGAAAAAAAGAGAATTAAAATATTCAATTAGGAAAAAAAAATAAAGTAAAATAAAATATTTACATCAATTAAATCTATTTCAGATGATTTAGGTGTTTCATTAATTCTTTCTTGTAATGCTAAATTTTGTTTTATATAGTCCATTAAAGCTAAATGAGCAAATAAATATTGATCTTCTGTTTGTACACTACCAGCACGTTCTGTTCTCATTTTAAGTACTGTTGATGGTATATCAATCATTTTCTTTTCTAAATATCGTTTTATTCCAATATCAATTGCACAAAATGTTCCTGTACGTCCAATACCAGCTGAACAATGAAGTAATATTGGTCCTTTAGTTGTTGTTATTTGTCGATAATATTCAACTTTATCAAGAAATAATAAAGCATCTTTTGTATTTGATGGTATACCATGATCAGGCCATTTAAGATAATGTGCATGATAAATAATACGAATTTCAGGATGATTTTTTTTTCTTAATAATAATGTTGTTATAATAAAACTTTCAAAATTTTCTGATCTTTCATTTTGTATTTGATATAGACCAGTATTAATTATTTCTTTTGATTGCATTGGCCAATATGGAAAACATTTCATTGTACCTGATTCACGAATATTTGTTGTCATAACAATAATTGTTATATTTTCTTGCCAAACCATACGCCAAAAATCTTTCACTGTTGTTTGAAGTGGTCCTAAAAATAAAAAATTTAGAATACAAAAAAAAAATCCAAAAATAAACTTTTCAGTTATACCTTGAGTAAAAATATAAGCTTTTTCTTGATTATTATGTCCAGTAACATAATTAGCATTAATAAAATCATTTATTTCATCATCATCATCAGGTTGAAGTTTAACACGAGTTGATTCACCTGGTAAAACATCTCGATAGCGAGATTTATCAAGATTTCGCTCTTCTCTATAAAAAGACAAAAACAGAAACAGCCGAGTTTTATTGAAATAATTTCTTTATTTCATTTTATTACTTTGCTGCATGTGTATCTTTAGCTGGTGGATTTGGTAATTTACGAAATTCTTGTCGAATTTCTGCTTGTGTTTTAGCTAAAAATTCTATGGCATTTAATGGTTTATATGAATGATTTGTTGTTCGTTTAATATCACGTTTAAGAATACCATGTTCACGATTTCCACTTTCACTCATATTAATTTTTGTTGAAGAACCAACATGTTCTTGATGATTAATTAATGAAGAAAATGGATTTTCATTTAATATTGATGATTTTTTTGATTGTGATTGACTAAAATTTGAAGAAAAAAAAGAAATTTATAAATAGAATAAAAATAATAAGACATAAAAAAAAAGAATTTATATACAAATATATGCGGGATACTGTTAACTATGATTTTTCTGTTGTTTTTACCTTGAAATATTACGCGCTCTATTCAATTTTTGATTACTAGAATATTGCCCATGATCAGAATGACGAGAATGTCGATGTCTATGATGATGTTCAGAAAAATAAGGATCATCATCATGACCATCTTCATAAATTTTTAATGTTGAAGAATATTGATCCCGTATAGGAGAAATATATGGCATTGACGATAACAATGAAGATAATGGGTATTCAGTATAAGAGTAATAATTGGGTTGTGGAGGATATTGACGAATGACTGAATATGGATAGATAGAGGAAAGAATTTGAGAAGGATATGTGTTCATTGTTGAGAGAAATGCTAAGTTAATCGATAATAACGACAATAAATAAGAGAGAGAGAAAAAAAGGAACTAATAGTTACTAAACGAATAGAGCGAAGAGCAAAATGAGAGTATGGGCGTACTTGAGGTAGTGGAGCATGGACAGAAACGCAAGAAAGAAAAGAAGAAGCCTTTCATTTTCTCTTTCTCGCTTTTCTTTCTGTCTACCCATCTTCTAATACACATATACGCTAGTATTTATGTTGATAACACTCATCAGGGATGAATACATAATGGAGATAAACTTGTCGGATCAATGACATAAAACCAAAACATCATACGTCTGTGTACCTATTATCGTTTTATCTTATATATCTCAATGGTTCACTAACTAAATCTAATCTAAAAGTAGATCAGTCTTTCGATAAAATATGTACTCATACCATGTCATTTTGTATTGATTTTTATATGCCATTGTCACAAGAGAAAAACAACAAGTGAAAGATATTAGTAATCGACAGGCAGAATATTTAATGTCTGCTGACATGTTTGTCTTTCTGTTACTAGGTATTTTTTTTTCTTCGTCTTCTTATTTTTCTAATGTCTACTTTTCAACCCACGCTTATGACTCAAATGCGAATGAAAAAAGATTATTTTTTACGATGACAAAAACAAAAAACGAATAAAATTATTATTATGATTATTATTATTTACTCGATAGATATTTCTTGTGGTATATAAGTTAATGGTTTTATAATAGGTGATTCTTCTTCAATAGAATTTTCATTTGATCGTAATCGTTTATCAGTATCACTTGATGATGATGATTCACGTTTTCGTACACGAATTTGTGATGATGATGATGATGATGATTCGTGATTACGTCTTAATGCAACAATAGCAACTAAAGATTTTGGTGAAGTTGTTGTTATTGTTGAAGATAATGTTGATGCGGTATCTTGATTTTGATGATGATGATGATGATGATGATCAGTATTAAAAAATAAAATATTACTTGTTGTTGTTTTAGGTTGATAATCCAATGAATAATATGAATGACATATTGATTGAGAATTCGTTACTGTTGATAAACATGTTTGATAACGATTATTACCATTAAGTGTTGGATCTAATGAACCACCCAATGATATTGGAATATCATCTAATGAATAATTATAATGTGTTATAAGTACGTCACGCATTTGATCTGATGTATACATCATCACCTAAAATATGAAATGAAAATAGAATTTAATAGAATTTCAAATATATGAATAAAAATATATATGTAAATAGTGAATATAATGAACTATATAGACACAAAACGAAAAGAACATGCGTGTAATAATGTGATATGAATATATTCTACATAGGAAAGTGTTTTGCTTTTTTTTTGTCAAGTTAATATTCATTTCGTGTTATTCTCACCCTATCACGCAGTTTTCGACTTAAAAAAATTGAGAGTACCTTATAGGCTATTTTGAACCATTTTGGTGCTGAAATGATAAATATATTTTTTACCATAGCTGGATAATTACCCTATGATTAAAAAAAAATTGTCTATTTAATATGAATTAAAAGAAGACATTAATTTACTTGAAGAAGTTTGAGAATTTTTCTACTAAGATTCATATCAAATTGAGATGCTGAACAATTTTGCATATCATAAATAAAATTTAAACCAGTATTTTGAACTTCCATACTAAAATAAATAATAAAACAAAAATTATTAATTAATTTTGTTTTTAAACTAACTTTTCAGTGGCAACATCAAGTTGACAAATTAATGCTTGTAATGAAATTAACTCTCGATCTTGTTGTGAAAGTGAATTTGTTGATGTAATATCAATAAGATGTGCTGCTGTAAAATAAACATTCAATGGTTGATTTGGTAATTGTCGCTAATAATGAAATAAGAGAAATATATATACAGATCATATCAATAGAATTATTTAATTCATACTAAAGTAAAAAATTTGTTAGATTGAATTTCACGTATAAGATGAGGATTATTAATCCAAATACGATCGAGATTTTCAGCTTTACGAACATTCTAATGAACAAAAAGAAATTAAAATTAACAAATAAATTTTTTTATAAATAGTTATACTAACTTCATATGTTCTATACAAATTAATTGCTCGATTAACATCAAATTTCATTGGAATTAAAAATTTCATTGCTATTTTCCATTTCATACGTGCTTCATCTGTTGTCGAGTTTACTGGCCATCCCATACGTTTAAGAAAATTTCCAGTTTCCTACAAAAAACAAAAATACAAATAATATTTGTCATGAAGGATAGTTAATTTATTTGTTTACTGATCGAACAAGTTCATGAACGTCGTATTCGATAATCATACATGGACTGCACGGCATCATGCTATACTACGACTTAGTAAACTTCTACTTACCTTTTATATAGGCTATACGAGGTCGCAGTCGCCGAAAAAGACATTTATTCTTGATCAAACATAACTGATGTCTGCCGTTTTTTCCGCGAAAAACACCCTTTTTTTTTGTTGTTGGCTTCTATTATTTAACAGAACACAAAATCTGACATTCTTCTTTATCCTAGAAAGGTCTACTATACCGCAGAATATGATTTTTTTGTAAAAAGAAAAGAAAATTATTTAACAAAATTATCTATTATTCTCGGATTTGATAGATACATAAAATGAAACAATAATTATCGATTTAGTAAGTATATATTCGTAGAATTAATTTGAATTGAAATATTTCTGTTGAAAATTATTCATTTTGAAAAATTTTCTATGAAACTTATAATGACTTCCTAGATGATTTTTAAGAAGATTATTATAATGAATATACTCGAATAAAGCTTACTAAAATCATCGAAAAACCTTCAAAAGACTTAAAAATATTAATTTTAACTTTATTTTTAGAAGCAATGCGCTAATTAATGACAGACTGATTTCAATATGTAATATGAAGAAGTTGAGTCAAATTAAAAATATTTTTCTACAATTGCGAAAATGAAGTAAACAGATAAATAATTTACAGTTATAAAATCTAATGAAATGCATTTTTTTAAATTACTTTTAACAAAAATATTTTTTTTGAATTCATCAAAATAAACTATTTACAATTTTGCTTCAAAATTAAAAATATGCTTTTGACTTCTTTCAAATGTCCAAGATTTTGCATTAAAAGCACATAGTCTAGTAGCACATTATTTTGATGTCGTTTTTAATTTAGTTTCGATTGTCAAAAGTGACAATTTTCTTTTGACATACACATGCACACAAATACACCCTTATACTTTCTCTTTCTTAGATACATACACGAGTTGATTGTGTGTACAATGTACGATCGCTTATATTGTCACTTAATGGACGATATTTTAAGAGACTGACCAATGGTTTATCATGTATATGATTACCACCTATAGCATTATTTGTTTGTCCTTCGGTCACGGTATTTACCAAAGACGATGTTTTGAATGGTCTCATAGCAACTGATCGAATTAAAGATAAAAAATCATTAGAAGTTGAATGTCGATTTTGAACAGAGTTAGTGTTTGTAGGATTTGAAGGTACACTTGTTGATACCGAAGATTTCAAATGTGAAATATTAAGTGGTCTAGATATTGATCTTCTTTCAAATAATGTTCTTGTCGATCTTGCTGTTGAATAATGTTTTGTATCTGTAGATAATCGACGATTAGTAGGTTCATAGAGAGAACATTGACTTGTAAAACGATGTTCGTCTAATACATCAGTAGTCATAATAGTTTTTTTTTCTTGGTTTCTATATGTCGTTTACTTTGTGACTTGTACCTTTTTTTTTCTTTTCAGTTTTTCTTTCAATATTAGACAATTAGAAGAAAACGATTGAGACAAGGTGAGAAAAAGCAAAGCAAGCGTAACGTAATGAAAATCAAGGCGTATATATAAATAGATACACGTTTTTTTTTTGCACAACGTTTTGTACTTTTCGTTGGCAGAAGAAAAAAAAAAGGTTCAAATATAAGAAGCAGACCGATTCATAATACGACGACGAAAAACACGTTGTTTGTTTCGACTTTGACTTGTTCGTTCTCTTGTCTTGTGTTATTTTTCTTTCTCGTCACAGGTGAAAGCAAAAAAAAAAATCCGCGTCGATAAAAATGTTCTCTTTTTCTCTTTGTCTGTCTCTTTTTCTCTCTTTTTCTTTATTCTTTACTATTGTACATAACTCAAATTTCTCTTGTTCCAGTATTCTACTTTTTTTTTTTCATCGCATTGTGTCCGATTGCATGCTTGCATGCGTGCATACAATGAGGTGTCTAGGTGTTCATTTTTCTTTTTGAAGCTGTCATTAGAAAAGATAGATTTCTTTGTATCATATTATTTTTGCTGTTTAGCAAATAAAATGAATTTTGTTGAATAAGAAAAAAAAGAAAAAAATTTTAATTGAATAAATAAAAAAGGAAATTATTTTTAATTATTTTTTTCATACATCATATTGATTGATGATAATTGATTATGAATAAAAATAAAAACAGAGTAAATAGACACTTTTCTGTTCGATCTAATTTTAGTAGTTAACGTTATTTGTAATCTATATTGACGTCATCAATATTGTTAATGATATTCTGATGAGTTTTTTTTTCTTCTCTTATTTGCAATCTTAAAAAATATATTTTTTATTAATTGACACTAACCTGACCAAAATAGTAATGATTCTAACGCATGAAATATTGAGGAGCAACAAATAGAGAAATTAAGAAAACCAAAAAAATATTTGCTAATCAATGGACGTATCTATTTTGTTAGTTGCATTTATTTGTTCTCTATTTTTTACAAATCAAAAAATAACAGAAATGTTAATGTTCAATATATATAAATAAGTCAGTCTTCATTTTGACCGATTGAACTATGCCAAAGGCGGAAAAGGATAATTAAGACAAGAGGAAGAAGAGTACTTTTACATCTTATTTATATTTATGAAAACGGGAATTGTAAGTCTATATAACGTGACATAACTTTGAATACAAAAAAAGAAAAGAACTTCTCCGACAGCATTTATTTAATAAACTTACGGCTTTTTGTTCTGGTCGAATGTCCATAATAAGTTCAATGTATCAATCTAGAATATAAATGGAAGACACGTAATAATAATAGCAAATAAACATTTTCAAAAAAAAAAACAAAAATCCTCCCCCGCCATTTAACATCATTTGTCATTTTGACAAGAAAAAAGAACCGACGATATATTTCTTTTTTTGTCATCAAAAAAAATTTTTTTGTGTTCAGTTTTATTTTTTGTTATTTATTTAACATTGACACGTCTTTTCTATTGATAATTTTTATTCATTTATGGCTAATAGCAATCATGATAGTCATCATCGATTATATAATATATCAATAATAAATTCTAACCAATATCAACATGGATCATTAAAAATTTTAAAAAATGAATTCTCTGATTTAATTAAAGATCCACCTGAAGGATTTATTGTTGAACCAGATCAAAAAGATTTTTTTATTTGGCATGTTGGAATATTTGGTGCACCAGATACACTTTTTTCTGGTGGTTATTATAAAGCTATACTTAAATTTCCTTATGATTATCCTTATCGACCACCAACATTAAAATTTCTTTCTGATATATGGCATCCAAATGTTTATCCTGATGGAAATATATGTATATCAATTTTACATGAACCAGGTGACGATGAACGTAGTGGTGAAAAAGCTTGTGAACGATGGAGTGTTGCACAAAATGTTCGATCTATTCTATTAAGTATTATATCAATGCTTAATGAACCTAATACATCATCACCAGCTAATATTGATGCTAGTATTGAATATCGAAAATATAAAGAAGATCCAATTAATTATCCAACATATAAAGAAAAACTCAAGTAAAACAAAAATAAAATAAAAGGACAATTTGATTTTTCCATTTTTGAAGAACAGAAATACTGTTCAAAGGCATCATTCTAAGTTCATTCGATAGAGAAATTTTCGTTCTACAAAAATCTGAACTTCGGTTTTTTAAATAAGTTCTTTCTTGTTCATAAAAAATTGGAAAAATTGACGACTCCTTTCACATTGCTCAACTGTGATCTCCTGTTATTTTCTGCTGACATTTAAGGATTTGTACAAGTTTGTATTCATCAAGTTCGATGCTAAATTTAAAATATTTAGCATCAATAAATAGAGAATTTTATGCTCTATGCTTCCAAAATCTTCTCAAGAGTCCTAATGATATCATTGAAGTGCAAAAGGCTTGAAACTAATATCTAGTAGTATTCTGTTTTGAATATGCTTTTGAAACTCGCGTTTTCAGAAGTTAGGGTGCACCATAAACCATTTCACGTTATGTCTCATCGGATGTAGAATTTAATTCTGAACAAAATAATGTAACATTTAAATTCAACAATGAAAATCTTTAGATTGTTCCCAATAACATAAAGTTGATAGAAAGAATTCTTTGTGTCGTCTTCTAATTTTTGCTTGAAAAATTATTCTTCCAAATGTTTTTTTCCTCTAAAATTGTAAAACATCGAGAGATGCAGCATTTCACGGTGTATCTTACAGTATATTTCAAATTTCGTTATTTGAACATATTTTTAATAATTGTTTGGTTTCTGAATAGCCGTAGTGTAATGGTTGACGAGGGAACTACCTCAACTGACACTCACCGTTTGAGCTCATATTGGGTCCACAGATGGATCTCACTGAGAAAAGCAAAAGTCTAAAAGGATTCGTTCCCATTCACCATTGTCGCTACGTTATGATCAGTTTATTGGATTTTTTACCTATTTTTAGAGAGTCATCGGAAGACCGAATAACCAGAATTGTGATCCAAAATTTTGCCTATGGATATGTCTAATAACTCTTAGAATATCCTGAATGTTTCAGCCGAAGAGAATTTTCCTTCGTCGTATTGTTAAATATATAAGTGAACTCAATTTTTGTGACATGTTTGTGACGAAGGGCTATTTTTGAAAATTCAATATCTTGATGAAAGAACACTCTTTTTGGTTGAAACTTTCGGAATATTTTAAGATTGATTCAACCTATCCATAGGCAAAATTTTTAATCAAAACTCTGTTATTCTCTCTTCTGCGAAGTACCTAAAAATAGGTGAAAAATCCAGTAAATCAATCATAACTCGACAACAAATGCCCATAGAGACGAATCATTTTAGTCTTTTGCTATTCTCACAGAGATCTGCTTGTGTGTCCAATATGAGTTCAAACGATGGATGTAACTTGAGGTAATTTTCTGACGAGTGACTGGATCCTTTCGACTTTTCTGCGATAGAAAAAACTTATTTTCAGAACAAAATTGACAGTTTTGTAGAGCGAAAAATTCTCTATCACATGAGCTTGGAATAATGTCTTCAAAAAAAAAACAAACGACAGAAAATCAAAGTGTCCTATTCTTTATAAGCCACCCATTATTTCAAAACAAAAACTATTTTCGACTTTTTTTTTTAATCTTAGTCATCTAATTGAAAAAAGTAAAACAATAGCGAAATTAGAAGGCATTGAAATCCCTCATACAATAGAAGAATATACAAAACGATTTGATAAAAAATTACCGATAACATCAATTGATGATATACAAAATTATATAATTGATGATGATGATGATGATGATGATGATGGACAGTCTGAAGATAATCAATCAAATGATAATTATTCTCAAACTTCTCGTGAAAATTCACGTATAAAATTAATAACAAATTCTGAAATTAAAATTGCTATCAAAACAATGACTAAACATAATAATAATAATAGTAGTGGTGATTATGATGATCTTTTATATCGAAAAACCAAAGAATTTATTTAATTAAAACACTTCTATTTTTATGAATAGATACATAAAAATTAAAGATGAAGACAAAAAAAAAATAAAAATAGTTAGTAGAATTAAATAAAGCGACAGAAAACAAAAAAAAACTGGGATTGACAAATCTACATTATAAGATTTTCTATTAATTTATAGTGTTACAAAAAAAAAGGAGAAAAATATGAAGTCAAACACAAAATCTAATGAAAACTGTTCTGATAAATAAGTTGTGTCGTATATAAAGCAAAAAGGAAAACAAACAAACTAAATATTAAGGTCATCAGATCAATATAGTGCTGCTCGATTTCACAACAAGATACGAGCGAACTCCTGAGAAATATACATATAAGCTCAAATTTTTTTCTCTATTTTGAGAGTGATTTTGTTTGAAATTGGAATATTTAGAATTATGCAAATAAAATTTTCAAAACAAACAAAAAATATATATATATATATAAATTCTAGAATTAAGATTCATTTAACACGTAAAATAGGTGTTTGTAAATGAAGTTCACTATCAGCAGATACAATAGGAATTTTGCCTGATTTATGATACGATATAAGATGTTGAATTGAATCAAATTCATAATCTTTTGTACGAATCTATAGAAAAGAATTATAAATAAGATATTTATTTCTATTATATACTTACAACTCCTTCAGGATCAACAAGAAGTAAATGTTTAAATTGATTTTGATAACGACCTGATAAAATAAATTGACCAGGAATTTTTACACTTTCACGTACAAGAAAATCACCACTATGAGTTAATAAATGTTCAGCCTAGAATAATTAAGACTACATATGTCACAGTTGATATAACAATTAAAAAAGAATTCTCTTAGAAAAAGATTTTTAATGAGTAAAAGCAATAGACTGAAAACTGGGTAAAATGATCATAACTTGAGAAGAAAAAGTCTAATGGTACGGTTGCTTCCAGGATTTTTATCTGCACTATGAGATCAAATAGAAATTATCAGTTGACTGGATTCGCTCGTTAGACAAAAGTTCATAAAATAAAGTTACATTAAATAAAAAATTTTTCTAACTTCTCTATTTCATTTGTTATTAATTACGACTAGAGTTCATATGAGAACTTTTCTTTCGGAATCATTTTAGAGTTCTATGCGACATATACTATCAATTATATTGGCTAGACAATAAATTTAACTTTCAATTGCATTAGTGTTGACAACCATTCATTATGTTCTAATATTATAATTATAAGACATAAATCTGATATAATGCACTATTGTTTTTAAGAAATTAGTCATATCGACCTCCTACTTGTGTGAAGAAATACTTTTAAAAAAATTATTTTTTCCGGATAATTTCATTAATCATTCAATGTCACTATTTCTTAGAAATATATATATTCTATTTAACAAAATAAAAATAATCAACTTATTTTTGTTTAGGCCAAGAAAGACAAGTCGTTTCCGATCGGAAAATGGTAAGAATCTGGTGACTGACTATGCTCAGAATTCGAAAAAGCCAACCATCGGTATCTGATTTCCCGGTTCTTCGTATTTTTCTGATAGGAAACATGCCTCTTTTATAGTGAGAACCTAAAATCATATTACTAAAAAAGACAAATTTTATACATGCACGAAATCTTTTCTTGTAACATTATAAAAACCATTATTTCAATCTCATCTGCCACATATATATTCAAACGTTAACACTTTATATTCTTTTTAGTCATAGAATAACTACTTAATCTTTTAATTTTTTTTTTTGTTTTCGAGTATTATATTACCTCTTCTCGACTAATCTTTCCATGAAACCAATTTTCTTTGTAAACATCCAAATTATTCATTATATCCCATCTACCTAAAAAATAAAAATTAATTCAAAAAAAACCACAAACTAACTGTCATTCATAAGAGTAATAATATTTGTCTTTCGAATAAAACTTGACAAACAATTCAATAATTTGCATATATTGTAACAAAAATACTAGTAGCCACGTATTCAAACGATTGAATTTTTTTCTTTCATTTTATGCATACTGTTTCATATATATATATATATATGATCTAACTTATCTGTCAATGGATATTGATATGCACTAGCTATTGAAAAAAGCAATTGAGAAACAATAGATTGTCTATAATGAAAGATTTAATGGGATATGTTCATGATTCTTTCATCTCATTTGAATGTCATATATCAAATATGTAACTATTTTTGTCCATGATAGCAAATACTTATCTGACAATGACCATGATCTATACAGCTTGACATAAGAACAAGAACATGTCTACACTACTCATCAGTAATCATTTACAAATAAATAGAAAATCTAAATTTACCCTGTGTCTCTTGTTGTTGATTATTAATATTGTTCGAAAAAAAACGATTTTGATTTTCATCTTGTTTCTATAATAAGAAAAATATAATTTTTTTATTGTTCTCAAAAAAAAAAAATAAAAATAAAAAAAAAGACGAAATTTTACATGTAGAAGTTGTCGATTATGATCAGATGATTTAAACGATCTAAATACAAAAAAAAATTCAAATAAAAAAAACCTAGTGACCTTGAAATTTAGTCTTGAATACCCCTGTTGTTCATTTGCTTGTTGTTGGATTTGCATATATTCATTATATCGTAGTTCAAAAGCTTGTCCAATAGTTGTAATAACATCTAATGACTCATTTGGTTCACATGAAAGTACGTGACATGCCCGTTTATTCATATTATCTTTCGCTACATAAGCTATATAATCTTTTGTATCCTAGAATAAAAGAAAAAGAACAAAAGATAAATTTAATAGAAAAAAAAATATTCATACATGTTCACCAGCACTTGCAAATGAGATTCCTTCCATTCTATGTGAACAAAGTATTTGAGAATCATTTTTACGTTTAAGTACAAGTGCATCAGTACTAATTATTAATTGAACAGGTGTATGACTATGTGTTAAATTTGCTTGTGTTGAAATCATTGATTGATCATTTGATAATGTGTCAGGCTAATTAAAAACATATATTAATCCAAAATTTATTATAAAAAAAATATTTTCTAGTTACTTTACGTCTTTCTCGAAGTGTAAGACCAGCTGCCGTGCATACCAAACGTATAGAATCACGTGCAACTCGTGTACGATTATCAAAATCAAGTGATTTCATCGAACAAAGTACTTCAACAGAGCCAAGATACTTAAAAAAAAAATTTCAATGAGTAATAAAATATTAATAATGCTATTACATTAACATTATAAGTAACCCCATGACCTGATAAAAGATCTGTATCTGAATGTATCCAACGTGTTTCTTCATCGACATTAGCCATTTTAGATGAATTTAAAATCATTAAAAAAAAATATTAAATAAAGAAAAATAAAAATGACGAAAGACAACTGAATTGAAGTCAATAAGTGAAGTCGATAAAGAGAAAAATTGACATTCTAATCTTTATAGTCTCCCTCTTCGTTCGTCAAGAGAGAAACAGAAAGAATGGATGGTTAACATACTTTCGAGTTATAAAAAATCATCCAATAGATGTCAGACATTAATAAATGTCTTATATTTCATCATGGAATCAATAAGTGGTTACTTTTTAATCCTATGAAAAAACAAAATGAACATGATAAAATGAATAACATAAACAAAGAAGAGAATATTTGACATTAATTATTTGGAACAAAAATGTCTGAACCACACATTAGTTATGTTCCAAATCAGAGTGGAAGGTAAAAAGAATTGTTTTATTTATAAATTCTATGTAATTTCAATTCATTCTTGTAAGCATTGTTATATGAATTTTGAATACTATAGTTTCTTTTGAATATGAAATAAATCTATCACATTTTTTTTTATTAGAATTTAAAAGATAAATGATAAATAAAATTTAATCATAAAATAACTTTATTAGTTTTGTGATATTGATTTATTTAAAAGCTTTATCAAACGTATATGCCAATGCTAAATCTGACATTCATTGAATTTAATATTCTATTAACTCCATTTAATATGAGCTTTGTATATGCATGTAAATAGAGATGCAAATTATAATAGACTTCAACAGTCGTATCTTAGTCAAATTATCTCACGAGGGAAGTCTCGCAACTGAAAAATCTCTTTTAAGTTGATACTATATGCATTATGTAGATCCAAATGAGTTATTAATACTCCAACAGTTAGTGCTATAACATTATTGCGGCAAACATACTGCATTTTTACGGTATTTTTTAAATGAATGAAGGAACAAAAGAAAAATTGATTTTCGAATTTCGACTTGAGACTTTGCATAGAGACAAGCCTTAACGCGAACAGTTCTTATTATGAATGTTTCAGATCTTATTGCTGTTCCTATCCTAAAATACAACTATGATAATAGCGGATGACTTTTGCATAGCTCATATAAACCGGCAGATTTAATGTTCTTACTTCAGAATAGGCGAAAGTGGAAACTTTTATAATAAACTACTCTCATTAAGACTCGTCTCGATGCAAAAGTTTCAAGTGAAAATTTAAATGCCAGTGTTCATGAGGATGACGATGGTATTCATTTAAAAAATATCGTAAAAGTGCAATATCTTCGTAGCAATAAGCTAAGAGTTCGAACTCTTTTCAGGGTATTAATAGTTTATTTAAATCTACATAATGTACATAGTCACAACTCAAAAGTGATTTATCTGTTAGAGGACTTTTCCCATCAGAAAAAAATTCAGTTTCTATTGCATTTAAATCTCTATATACACTTTGGGAAATATAGTTCAAGCGATTTTTGAGCATGAACTTTACCAATTCATATCGATTCTAGACATGAACTGGACCATCTTTCCTTTATCTAATGTACGCTTTCAATCGTAGACACAAATGAATAGTTAGCCTTGTATATTTATATTATGAAATTATTAGCATAAATTTCGATTTGGGGTGGACTAGGTCCTCCACTTTTTACGGTTGCGCGCACGTCATCCTTGAAAATGAGATCGCCGAATTCCTTTCGATCGTCTATGTTCATGAGTCTTTTTCCGACGATCATTCTTTACGTTTATTCATTCTCAATAATTAATGATATACATTAATATAGATATATATGCTACAGGCATCATTGTAGAATGTCGCCTATAGGTTCAGTCATTGAAATGAAGATCATCGAAAATAGGAATTGCCGACAGTGACATCGTCAAAATGCAAATCACTAACTTTCGATAATAAGCATACTGATCCTTTTGACGTCACATCTGCGAAAATTTGAGAAATATAGTTTTGCTCAAATATTTTCTACCTGATGAACTGTCAGTTAATTTCTTTGCTCTAGTCACTTTGTAAAAACTATCGAGAATTCTGATTGTCAAATAATATAGAACTTGTTTATTGAGTATAAGAAATACGCATGAAAATATTCTAGAGATTTTTTCAATTATTGTCTATTAGATTCATTCGATATCCATATGCTCAACGAACATCATCGAATCGATTTGTTGAACTCGGACGTTTTTTTTATAATTTAATACGTGCAATCTTGCAATTATTTCATCTAGTACATTATTCAATAGCAACATTTAATAATATGTTATCATCATTACCTTTTTGTATACGTTATATGATTCATCTTCTATTTTCAATTTGTTTTCCATTTTATACAATTTATCAAAGTTCTATTTTACTTATTAATCGAATTCATCGTATTGCTTATCCAATTTATCGAGCAATCACATTATTTACACGTCTATTGAATTTTTTTGTTACATTACCTTTACGTATAATAACATTTCTTACAACGCAAATTCATGTTTTATTAAGAAATTTACTTATATTATTAATATTTGCAGCTATTATTATTGGATTAATAGTTCTATTTTCGGATGACAATCAATTAAATTATATTAAATCATATACACGAAATACTACAGATTGGATATTAAAACAGAGTTCAATGATTTGATTTATTAAAACTCTTCTTTTTTTGCTTTGACAGAACAAAACCAATATGTATGTATATATATATGAGCAGGTACTCATTAAACGACGAAAAAAAAATAAATGTAGATATAGATATATAAATAAATATGTCTGCATACGTATCAAATGCCCATCAATAATTTCTAAATTATAGTTTTTTTTAAGACCAGTTCGAAAGTTTATATACGAAATCGAAGTTTTGTTTGTATCTGACGGGCATGACTTAGTTAATTGTTGATTTTGATTTATTTCCAAGGTAATTTAAAAGGTAATTTTTCTGTGATAGTATTTAATGCATCTGTTGCCATTTTAATTGGATCAAAACCTAAAGAATGAAAATCAAAATTAAAATAGTTTAAGAGAAAAAAAAAAATGATAAAAGTACAAAACATACTATCATCATCATCCGGTAGAGGAATTGGTCCTTTTTTATCAGCTGTTAAGCGTCCTTCACATGGTAGTGGAATTGATTCTTCTTTTTTCTTAATATTATACTATAAACAAAAACAAAAAAAGACAATAAAGAATATAAAAGACTGATTTTTATTAATAGATAAATTATATTAAGACATTCAACGAAAAATATCATGAAAGATTTCCTATGGAGATACTTATAGAGACACAATAGACAAGCGATAAGATATTTTGCGTAATTGAAAATATTGATTAAAATTCTTTTTTACATATAATTATAAATTGAAATCATTTTAGTATGGAAAATTTTTATAATCAAACTTGAGAACGAGAAACAAAAACAAAATAGCATGTCACAATTATTTCGTGACATTTTTCAGATAAAAGAATGTAAACTTCTATTGAATTGGTTGGTCTCAAAGGTTAACTTTAAATGGTAAGTCAACCGGTTTTCTTTATCATATCTAATAAGAATATTAGTAAAATAGATTGACTTGTTATAAACTAAAAACAAAGCTTGTCTAATTTTACTTTTTCTCTAATATTTTGTCGAACTTCTTCTCGTTGTCGTTCCATTTTTGCATATTTTGCATTCCGTTTTTCGTCTGCTTCACGTCGAGCTTCAGCTACCTAAAATAATTAATAAAAAAACAAAAAAGAATTCGTTAACTTTTTAATACTTTAATAAATCTTATCAATTTCTTTAAGAGCTTATATTTCAACAAAAAAATAAAATAAAATAAATCTTTTCATTGTTGTCATCATCAAGTTATCTAATTATAATAAACTCACCACTAATGGTTCGAACATACTCTTTCGACGAAGGTTTGTTGGTGTAGTTATTGGTGATGAAGGTGTAGACTTATGAAATGGTGGTACAAGGGAAAAACGTCGAGTTTGTATTGGTGAAGCAGCTGATAGGAATAATGTATTAACACTGAGTTTATCCATAGTGTTTCTAATTTGATAAAAGAATAGTATTTGTTTTATCAATATAAAATGAATATTTGAAAAGACAGGAGAAGTAAAAAAATAAGAAGAAGCTATTAAAACTTGTGAGTATACGCTAATAACGATGATGAATGAGTGTGAGGCTACATATAATGTGTTTATATTAGAGAAAAAAGAGTCTACAGAAAATGCTATTCATTGAAGGTTCATTTTAAAAAAAAAAAGTTGCGAGAGAAAGAAAAGACAATTAAGATAAGATGAAAAGAACGGAAAAGTAATTAAAAAAACAAGGAAAATATAGACGAGTTTCATCTTTGCCTTTTGATAAATCAATGTAACTTGTCAACTTGTTGATTCAAAAATTGAGAATTTTTTCTTTTGTTTTCGAGAGAAAAGAGAAAACTATTGATGAAGAAGATTACATATATAAATGCTACTATAATGAGAACTGACTATAAAAAAGTCATAGATGATTCAACCAAGCAGAAATAACTCATCAAAAGCTTTCGCGATATTAATGTACTTGTGAAAAAAAGATGGAAAAAAACAAAAAAGTTGAACAGACCTCTGTTTCAGATATTTCCTATTTTTTTAGCATTAAGGAAGTAATATTATTTTTTCAGTAGATTTTAAGACAAGAATAATGATAATAGTCAACAACCGAGAAAATCATGTGTATATATATATATATTGCATCACATCGATAAGTTTATTTTACCTCTGGATCTTCTTCATCACCACCACCACTTCCACTACCATTACCACCATCGTTTTTCTCTCCATCGCCGCCGGCTAACTCTACAATATCAAAAACATATCATTGAATAATTAAATAATAATAATAATAATTATAATAATAATAATAATAATAATTCACCAAACAACTTACTTTTACCATTAACCTTATTGCTCATGTCTATTGTATATAAGTTGATCGTAAACTGAACGAGTTTTTTTCTTTTTTTTTCTAATAACACTAACAAACTAATCTATCTTTCTCTCTATCAACGTCTTTCCTCATCCTTCGTATTTTTTCCCTCCATTTTCTCATTTCTCTTTAGAAGCTCAATGACATTGTTAATTCATTCGGATGTGAACATCATCGAATCAGCTCCCGAGTTACATAGAGAACATGTAGTCTTAAGTATAATACTATCACGTCGACTATTACAACAACTCGTATTTCAATGAATGTTGTTGATGAATAACTAGTAGATAAACAAGTAGTCAAGGAAGAAATGTGAATTCGAAGTTGTTTGTCGCATTATTCATTTCCTGTATTCTTTAATTCTGTTGTAAGTTTGAATATATTTTAGAATCAGATAAAAAGAAAAACTAGATGAAGCGAATGAATGAAGAAGAATTAATAGAAAACATATTTATTTCAGTCGACCAGTCAATCACAAGCCTAATCCTTTCTTATTAGAAAAATATTTAATTTAATAATAAATTAAAAAAATTCAATATCAAATAGAAATCTATGTCGTCTTAAAAAAACATACCTTTAACTTTATCCAACTGAGAACCCATCATTTGTTTCATGATAAATGAAGCCATAATGAATATGTTGTAAATTATACACAAATTAGTAAATATGAGTAAAATCAATCTACACCTAGAAAACAAGACAAAAAAAAAAAAGACAAAACACAAATAATGATAATAGCATGTATGTTTTTTATCAAGGGAATCAACTGAAACCGATATGCATGTTTGAAGAAGTGGAAACATATCTTTGCTCACAACACCATTCATCTCGTTTTTCCTTCAACATCATTCTTTTTTTTCATTCTTCATTTCTTGCAATTACTCTATTCCTATGTCTGTCGCCGACAACTCGGATAGTATCATTCTTTTTAGCTTGCTTTTTATTCCAATGTCATTTGGATAAAGAACTATCTTACTCTTCTTTACTTCTTCGGCATATTTTCTACTAGCACTAATATATAACTGTCATTATGAATGCATGTGCTTATTCATGGTTCTTCTCTGATAGTTCAAATGAAAAAAAAAATGGATGAACAAAAAAGAAATTTATCTATATCAACTTTATATGTATATTATATACGCTCAGTATCATTATGTATGTCGAAGAACAAAAATAACAAATCTGAGAAAACACTTTTCTTGTCTTGTATTTTTAATGTTAGCGACACGACATCGATCAAAACACGACAAGAATATATGAAGACGCATCGATCTAATGGAAATATAAGAAAA